TACTTTTAAGTGATGCACAAACGAGGGCCATAGCAAATATATAATCCATATCTAATAATCATTTATTGCATATATGTGCATTGTTTACATAAAATATAACTTTGTAAAAACTAATGATTACTGCCAATACAATTGTTATAACAGAGAAAGTGTAGCAACAAAAGCATCCTCTGTTTTTTCAGAATACGATTGTAAACATCCAGGGGGCTCTCATTACCTGAACCCGTGTTTAGACAGCCTGTTCTGGGCTTCAGCACTGCAGCTAACTGGGCTGTTAGCTTATAGCACCGGAGCTTCAGGCTGGAGGTAAAGTCCGAAAATTTTCGAATTTATCTCCAAACAGACTTCTGATATGACAATAGAGGGGGATATTTCTCGCCTCAAATGATATTAGAATTAACTTTTATGTCCTAATTAAAGCGTATTTAGAACTTTTTACCGTCCATCATGGCCGCCGTGTCCTTCCGCTCCGCTCTGAGTTGTGTAGTCACGTGACGAAGGCAGAAGGCAGCTGCTGTCCAAATCCACATCACGTCTCGCCTCCTACCTCGCCTGTGCCTACGCGGTCTTCCTTCTGTGCCTACGTATCCACCCTACGCGGCCTGATGCCTACCGTTTTGGACACAGCCCTGGATGGGGGGGTGGTCAAAAGCGCCTCATTTGCATTTAAAGAGACAGCACCAAAACAGGTTGCTCTCAGACGCACCTCAGAACAGGTGTAGAAGAAAGGCCTGTGGAGCTACAAATAATGAGACTCAGACTCAGGCATTGCAGTTACGCTTTATATAGGTCACAAATTAATGATTTAGATGTAAAAATCAATTATTTGAAAACACGATATGTCCACTTTAAACTCATCATTCTATCAATGTGCAGAAGCCAGTACTTTTCCCTTGTTTTGTCTATCTGAAGGCCAAGCTACATGGCACTGTGGCAGCTGCTGATTGGAGGTCTCCATGCCTCCGCTCTGTATAATACACTTGTATTCTGTTGTATCTGTTGTTCGTGCTGTCTCTACCATCGACAATAAAACATGTCTTCTGTCTGAATGAAAGACACGATCCCAGACTTGGCACATCTTCTTCACAAGAAAACATGTTTATGTTACTGTTGGGACCATCAATAACTTCTTCATGAAGGCACAGAGTTAGGAGCACAGAGTTAGGAGCCCAGAGTTAGGAGCCCAGAGTTAGGAGCCCAGAGTTAGGAGCCCAGAGTTAGGAGCACAGAGTTAGGAGCCCACACAGAGTTAGGAGCCCAGAGTTAGGAGCCCAGAGTTAGGAGCACAGAGTTAGGAGCCCAGAGTTAGGAGCACAGAGTTAGGAGCCCACACAGAGTTAGGAGCCCAGAGTTAGGAGCCCAGAGTTAGGAGCCCACATATATCCTTCCATCTAAACAAATAGAGCTGAAAACAACCATTATATTGATCCTGGCTCCTGTTGACTCCCACTAGGGATGTAAATCTGTGACCGTTTAACCGGTGGTTGACCGTCACAGCATTAACCGGTCAAAGCTGTCAAAAAAAGAAAGAAAAGGGGAGGTCTCTTAATACTGCAGTGATCTGCCAGTGAAATTGACGCTGTCTATCTGGGAGACTGTACAAAATCACAGCGTTCTGATTTGTCTAAGCTCCCTCTGTTTTAGACAGATGTTTTGTGAGCAAAGATATCTCCTGTACTGCTCATCAGAAACCACAAGCTGAAAGTCCCATGTCTAGTACCTTTGTTAAAAAAGGGGTTTATCCTGCTTCTTCTTTTACTATCCGGCAATGTTGAGCTTAATCCTGGCCCTTTGCCAAATCACATTGAGACCCCTGAGGATTTTCAGAACAGGTCTGGTCTTGGTATTTTGCACATGAATGTCAGAAGTCTGCTACCCAAAATGGACTTGATTAAAATCTGGATTAAATCCACAAACACTGATGTTCTTGTCCTATCTGAAACATGGCTGAATAAATCAGTATCTGATTCAGATATTTTGTTATCAGGTAATAACTTGTTTTGTTGTGATTGTCCCAAGAAAGGTGGGGGGGTCGCAATCTTTGTGAAAAACAAGTATGCTGTCACCATATTAGCTTCAGTGTCAGTGCAAAAGCAATGTGAACTACTTGCCTTGAAACTAGAATTTCCAAAAGGGCAGTCACTAACACTTGTTGGTTGTTATAGGCCTCCATCACATCACTGTACCAGCAGTTGCTTGTGTTGAATGCAAATGAGCTAGTTCTTGTCGGTGATCTGAACCAGGACTGGATGACTACAGCATCAGTCAATTTAAAATCAGTCTGTGATTCATTAAATCTTACACAGATGATTGACAGTCCTACCCAACCAAATATCAAGATTCCATCTAGATCATCTTTGATTGACCTGATCTTGACAAATGTCCCTCACAAATACAGTCATATTGGAATTTTTGCAAATGATCTTAGCGACCATTGCACTATTGCTATAGTCAGAAATACAAAATTACCAAAGACAAAACCTCATGTTATTGTGAAGCGAAACCTTAAGCACTTTAATGACCAAGCCTTTTTACATGACTTGTCCTTCAAGTTCAACTAGAGTTCTCTTGCACTGTTTGATGATGTTGACTTAGCCTGGAAATATTTTTCCTGAGGTTGGTGAACAAACATGCACCCTTCTGTAAATTTAGGGTGAAAGGAAGGAATCTTCTAAAAGAACGAGATGTGGCATGGTCCAAAGCGAGGAAAAACAAACTTGATGCTGATTGGCTTTGTTTTCGACAATTCAGAAATAAGATAAGATAAGATAAGAATTCCTTTATTCGTCCCACAGTGGGGGAATGTCGATGTTGCATGGCACATATAGGACAGTAGTAAGAGCACACAGGGATCACACACAATATATACACTATATACAAATAAGTAGTAGCTATGTTTCTTAGCTAACATAACTAGCTGTAGATGCTGAAAATGCTTCAATACCAGTCATAACATATATATGTAGTAGTGCAGTTATATACTGTACATTTAAATAGTACAGGATAATAAGTATATAAGTAAAGTGACATTGTTCTGTGACATTCTGAAGTTGCAGTATTGCACATTGCACATGATTTAAGAATTTACTTAATTACAGATGAATGAAATGTACAGGCTCAGCAGTTCTTATTGTACAGTCTGACAGCAGCAGGAAGGAAAGACCTACGGAACCTCTCCTTCACACAGCGAGGGTGAATTAGTCTGTCACTGAAGCTGCTCTCCAGAGCAGAGAGAGTGCCCTGCAGGGGGCGACAGTCATGGTCCAGCATAGATGTTAGTTTGCTCAGGACCCTCCTGTCCCCCACCTGCTGCACTGTGTCCAGGGAACAGCCCAGGACTGAGCTGGACTTCCTGATGTTCCAGCTTCTTCCTGTCCCTCTCTGTGATGCTGCTGCTCCAGCAGACCACACCGTACAAGAGGCTGATGCCACCACAGAGTCATAGAAGGTCCTTCAGGAGTGGCCCCTGCACTCCAAAAGACCTGAGCCTCCTCAGCAGGTAGAGACTCTGGCCCTTCTTGAAGAGGGCGTCTGTGTTATGAGTCCAGTCCAGTTTGTGGTTCAGATGAACACCCAGGTACTTGTAAGAGTCCACTCTCGATGTCCCTTTCCCTGGATGTTCACTGGAGCTGGAGCGGCAGAGTGACATCTGCGGAAATCCACCACCATCTCCTTGGTCTTCCTCACGTTGATGAGGAGGTGGTTCATCTCCTTGGTCTTCCCCGCGTTGATGAGGAGGTGGTTCATCACCTTGGTCTTCCCCGCGTTGATGAGGAGGTGGTTCATCTCCTTGGTCTTCCTCACGTTGATGAGGAGGTGGTTCATCTCCTTGGTCTTCCTCACGTTGATGAGGAGGTGGTTCATCTCCTTGGTCTTCCTCACGTTGATGAGGAGGTGGTTCATCTCCTTGGTCTTCCCCGCGTTGATGAGGAGGTGGTTCATCTCCTTGGTCTTCCTCACGTTGATGAGGAGGTGGTTCATCTCCTTGGTCTTCCTCGCGTTGATGAGGAGGTGGTTCATCTCCTTGGTCTTCCTCACGTTAATGAGGAGGTGGTTCATCTCCTTGGTCTTCCTCACGTTGATGAGGAGGTGGTTCATCTTCTTGGTCTTCCCCGCGTTGATGAGGAGGTGGTTCATCTCCTTGGTCTTCCCCGCGTTGATGAGGAGGTGGTTCATCTCCTTGGTCTTCCTCACGTTGATGAGGAGGTGGTTCCGCTGACACCAGTCCACAAAGTCCTGTATAACTCCTCTGTACTCTGTGTCATCGTCCTCGGAGCTGAGTCCGATGATGTCAGAGTCGTCAGAGAACTTCTGTAGAACATAACCGTCCGTGTTGTGTCTGAAGTCCGCAGTGTAGAGGGTGAAGAGGAACGGCGCGAGGACAGTTCCCTGGGGGGCCCCCACACTGCAGGTCAGGACCTCAGACACAAAGTCCCTGGTTCTCACAAACTGGGGTCTGTCTGTGAGGTAGTCCAGGATCCACTGGGACAGGTCGTAGTCCACACCGGCTGTCTCCATCTTGTCCCTGAGAAGCCTCGGTTGGATGGTGTTGAAGGCCCTGGAGAAATCAAAGAAGAGGATCCTCACAGTGGAGCCGGGTTTCTCCAGGTGGGACAGGGAGCGATGGAGGAGGGAGATGATGGCGTCCTCGACTCCGATGCCCGGCCTGTAGGCGAACTGCAGCGGGTCCATCGCTGGGCTCAGAGTGGAGCGGAGATGTCCCAGGACCAGTCTCTCCAGTGTCTTCATGCAGTGGGATGTTAGAACCACTGGCCTGAAGTCGCTGAGGTCTTTGGCCCGTGGTTTCTTGGGCACCGGTACCACACAGGAGGTCTTCCAGAGCTGTGGTACCACCCTCAGCTTGAGGCTCAGGTTGAAGACGCGCTCCATCACTCCACAGAGTTCGTCTGCACAGGAGCAAAGGAGCCTGGAGCTGATGTTATCTGGTCCTGGTGCCTTTCTGGTCTATATCCTCCTCATCTCTGTCCTCACCTGAGCAGCGGTGACTGACAGGGGGGTGCAGGGGGGCTGGGTGGAGTGGGTGCTGAGTAGGGAGGACGGGGGCTCAGTGGTGGGGGGGGGGGGGGTGTCTCTGGGAGGGCTGGGGGGGCCGTGGGAGGAAGACTGTGGTGGCATGACAGAGGTGTGAACGATCGTAGGTGTTGCCCTTTGTTCCGCTGCCGGAGTGAGGGGGAGCGTCTGCGCAGGGGGAGGGGAAGGCTGGTCAAAGCGACCGAAGAATGTATTTAGCTTGTTTGCCCACAGCTGGTCTCCTAAACCAGGACTGAACCAGCACTGAACCAGGACTAAACCAGGACTGAACCAGGACTAAACCAGGACTAAACCAGGTCTAATAAAGGACTGAACCAGGACTAAACCAGGACTGAACCAGGACTAAACCAGGACTAAACCAGGTCTAATAAAGGACTGAACCAGGACTGAACCAGGACTGAACCAGGACTGAACCAGGACTAAACCAGGACTAAACCAGGTCTAAACCAGGACTAAACAAGGACTGAACCAGGACTAAACCAGGACCAGTTGTACTCATCATCTGTCCTCTTGGTCCGTTTGTTTTTCTGGGCCTTTGTGGAGGTCGGCTCTAGCTCCTCTTCATCAGACACTTCAGCACACGCTAAGAACACACAGAAGGGTCAGCAAGGACTAAACCAGGACTAAACCAGGACTGAACCAGGTCTACCCTAGGTCTAAACCAGGACTGAACCAGGACTGCAGTCATGTGTCTCAGGTGTTAGACTCACCATCAGGAGGCTTGTCCATGGGACCATCAGCCTCAGCCTCCAGGTCACTGTGCTGAAGCTCTGTTTGGTCTAAGAACATATGAAAGATAATCATCATCATGAATCATGCCTTTGATCATATTTATGTAGAGTACAAACCACAGACAGCTGCATCCAGGGTCTGGAGGGTCTTTCCCTATAGGGCCTCTGCCCCACCTTCCATTGCAAACAACAGCTTCCCAACTTTAGCCACTTTAGCCAAAGGTTTTATCAGTCTGTCTGTAGTAGTTGCAGTGGACTCTGATGTCGTGGCCCATGAACTTTGCAACCTGCTCCAGCTCTTGGTTTGAGAGGTCCAGAAGTTGACACAATGTTGCCACGTGTTTCCTTAATTTAGTCGACCTGAGCATTGTAGGGTTTTCAGCTCCACACACAAGGGAAAACTTTCTTAAACAGTCACAACCACGAATATGTGTGTTTGTTCCAATGTTTGCAAATAAAAAAGGATTGTCTTGTGGTATTCCAACTTTGTCCCTGAGCTCGATCATGAAGTCTATTGAAGCTTTAGTGTGCGCCAGGAACAGCACGGGGACTTTCCGCCCTCTTTTGCCTCTCGTAACCATCCGAGTGAGTCTGCGTCTCAACATTTTCTCTACAGGTGACAGTGTTTCATAAATGTCTTTGTTCATGTGACCAGTGTCAGCGCTCTTAAACGTCTCCAGTGTGATCCTTGATGCTTCTCCTTCACGTTTTTTGCTGAAGACGATCACTTGAGCTAGAAGACTTTCGCTAAGCTGTTTGTATGACGACACAGTTACATTCTGCCTCAGGTCGGCTGTGGCTCGGTCCTCTATAGTCCTCAGGTGATTCTGCAGCGCAACAATGTCCTTCGTCAATGGAACACTGTCGTCTTTGTTCCATTTGTTGTGCTCTATGGAGCTGTGAGCGTTTGCCGAAACAGTCTGACCAAATTTTGTCCAGAAGCTCTTTAAACTTCTTTGCTTTGTTTTCACCAACAACATCCGACTTCATGATGCAGTGACCGATCCAAGCATTGGTCGCTGCTTTGAGAGAAAAGCCTATCTTCACAGCTGTTGAAGGTTTTCCATACTCTGACTTTTCTGAATTAAAGTTTGCCACTTTTTTAGCTGCTGCTATTGCCAAGTTAAAATGTGTTGGGTCGCACAAATCTTTAAGTCCTCTGATGCGTTTGTCAATTTGTTTAGCTGCTAAAATGAAACGTCCGAGTTCCCTCAGTTTCTGTGCGATGTACCGGTGTTGCGATTGTTCACGTCCTTTTCTGGCAAACAGTGAATCTCCAAATATACAAATCATGTCATTACTTTGGATTTGTGCTGTGATATTATCTTGCAACATGCTTGAAATTACAGTTAGAAAACGGATCCAAGCGGTCTCTTCTGTGCTCCTTCCGATGCAGAAAACCTCAGAGGGAACCCACCCTCTGAGGTTTTCTGCATCGGAAGGAGCACAGAAGAGACCGCTTGGATCCGTTTTCTGTTTGTTCCCAAATCTGTGCTTTCCTTTTTATTCCTACAAACTTTATCATGTCTCCATAGATCCCTTTTTTTAAACATGGCAAAGCAGTGCTGACATGGTAAATAATCATTAACAGGTGCGTTAACAGAGAGCCGCTTCCAGGTGACAAGCTCCCCTTTACCTTCTTTTAGCACTTTCTGATTATGCTGCGAGTCCCCCTTATTTCTCAGGGACTCAATATGTCTCTTTCTTTCCTTGGAGCGAACTGGAAAGCTAAAAGTCTGAGCCACATCCGTTTCATCCATGTGCTTCATCTCTAAATGGCGGGCAATTTTTAGATTAGGCTTTTGACAGTAAACACAGTAATGAGATTTGTCCCACACTCTTTTGCCATTTTTCTTACTACTAGTATTTACAGTCAATGCATTTGTCCCCAAGTTGTTTTTGAGGCGGTGGTAGTTTTTGGTGCGTCTTGTCTTTGGTCTGGACTTGCTGGATAATGAAGAGGAGCACGGGCTTCCAGGAAGAGGCTTGTACTCATCACTGGACCAGGCATCTGAAGATGGCCTACTCATCTGCAACATGCAAGATTTACAATTAGAATTAATCTGCATTTTGTTTAATACATTTCAACACATTTGAATTTTACAATAAATTTAAAATGATTTTTGGAAATTACTCCATGAAGTCCTGAATCCAAAACACGTTCTAAAGTAAGTAATATTCATATATAGTGCATTTCACAGACCAAGGGGAAAAAAATAAATAAAATAATAATCGCTTGCTCATACAATTTTCATACTTAATTCAATTGACTTTAGAAGGCCTCCATCTTTTTCGAAGTTTCAGAGATCAGAACCACAGACCCGCGCACAGACCCAGACCCACAGAACAACGCACAGACCCGCGCACAGACCCAGATCCACAGAACCATGCACAGACCCGCGCACAGACCCACAGACCCGCGCGCAGACCCACGCCGCCATCAAACAAACTTACCGCTGAGCACCACGTTTTGTATTTAAAACACCGGATTTGATACGGAGAAGTTACTTTGGCCGGAGTTATTACAATGAAAAGCACTCACTTTACCCACAGAAATAAGACAGAGGTACTTACCGCATCGGCTCTGCTCTCACGCGCCATCTCTCCGGTTCGTCGCCGTGTGCTCCTCGCGTGGTCCTCGTGTGCACGTGAACTCAGACAGAACGTGCATTCGTTTCACGCGTGGCTCATTGTGCGCTCTCATTGGTTAAGATACACAGTGTTGTGATTGGTTAAATCCACCTGCAAGCTGTTTCTTTCTCCCTCAAAAAATATAGTTTTCAATATAGTTTTTAACTTACAATTACAACATTTCAAAGTTTTCAAATGAAACTTGTTCCTGGTGAACTCGTGTTAAAGCCCTTTCCTGTACTGTGTGTGTTAAAACAACACATTTAAACATGTTTAGTTTTAGGCTGTGATACTAAGTGCACAGGGGGCGGGACCGTAGGCTACTCTGATTGATGGCCCACTCTGGATCAGCCAAAGAGAAACAATGTTTCAATCTGCAGCTGCAGAATCCAAGGCCTGAACTGAGACCTGGACTGAGACCTGGACTGAGACCTGGACTGAGACCTGGACTGAGACCTGGACTGATAAACTTAGAACGTATGTTCAGGGCTGCAGGAGACACATGCGCACAGTCAAAAATATAGTCATACAATCAAACAAAAATACAACGCAGTACAGAAGGCTTTTGGCTGGTATCTTTTTTTTTTTTTTTTTTTCATACTTTATTGTGTCATCTTCATTAGTTCACACTGTTTTCTTAATACATACAGCTTAACCAGACACATTTTAATTTCTTTTTTTTTTCCCCTTCTTTTTTTTACCCTATGCTCCCCTTGTGTCAAAAAAATAAAAAAAATAAATAAAGGATAAAACAAAACCAAGCAAAACAAATACATAGACAAATAAGGAGAAAGTATGTATATATACGCAAAAATAAAATATATATATATACAAAAAATAAAATAAACAATATTAAAGTAAATAAAATAGTCTTAACAATAGATGGTTATTCTTATGGCTATATGTTAAATAGTATTGATGTTATATTGATAAGTATACAGAATGTGTAGTCAGTCTTCCTCTGTGTCCATTTTTGTTGAATTTATATATACATACACACCCGCACAGATACTCGTTTGCACACCTATATACTCATGTACATACATATACGCACACATGCGTACATCCACATACATGCATACGTACATACACATACAATACACATGCAAGCGTATACACGTACACATGCATGCAGACATATAATCACACACACACCTGTAAACACACAGTATTTTTCTCATATTTCTCTTTCCCCTTCAGAAGCTCCTCTCTACTTAGTTTTATGGTTATTGTTGAGATAATATATATATATATATATATATATATATATATATATATATATATATATATATATATATATATATATATATACACATACACACATACACACACACATACACACCTATATATATATATTTTTAAATGGGCACTTTTACGTAAATATATCATCGAAGGTGTGCCATTTTCTCCTGAATTCATCTTCCTCATTATTCATTTTGTGTGACAGTTTCTCCATTAGCTGAACCTCTTGAATTGCTTCCATCCAGTTTTGGATTTTGGGGATGCTGGTTGCTCTCCAATTCTTGGTGATTTGTTTGAGGGCGGTTATTCGCATTATCCAGAACAGGTATTCCTCTCTTCTCTTCATTCTCTGAGTTAATATACCCAGTAATAATGTTTTATCGCTGTGTAGGTTTATGTGTCTAAGTACTAGTGTAATATTTGATTTCACCTCGGTCCAATAGTCTTGGATTTTCGTACAAGTCATAAAAATATGTCTGTAGTCCACCTCTTT